CTTCCTGATACACTCCACGATCTCGAAAGGACTCTTTGTGAAGAATGGGCTAACCTCCAGCAAAGAGACATTTCCAGACTGATAGAAAGTAAATGAAAATGACTGGTTGAAATGTTAATTAAAAATCTAAAACAAAATTAAAACAAAAAATTAACTGTCCGCCTTTTTTTAAAATTTTTCATTTTCCTTAGCAATTCATTTATTTTTTTACTTTTTTAGACAAAGACTCGATTATTAAACTTTAAAAAACGTGAAACTTTGATTAATATATACAAATGTATACAAATCCAGGTTATATTACAAGTGGGTGAAATTTTTTGCCTGTCAGTATATTTGGTTAGGTTTTTTTTTCAAGAAGGTGACCAATAATTAGGAGTAAATTGATGGGCGTTAGCAATTTGGAAGGTGTTTGTTCGGCTTCGGTATTGGGTTGAAAACATACTCCAGTCCTCCTAATCAAAAAATCTACTTGACAAAAGATCCAAATTATTCCTTGACAACTCATCTATTCTACCATACTGAAACATATATGGACTGGCACATGCAGTGAACCTAAGGTGTTCAACCTACTTGCTTTTAAGGTATTATTTTTGCAAACCTTTCTTTTGAGTTTTTTTATTTTACTTGTTTCTTTGTGATTTTAAAACTTTTTATTATAGTGCTTCCAGGAAAAACGCATCGTACTGTTCATTTTCCCTTTTATGGCAACAAAATTTATCATGGAATATATAGATTTAAGTAAATTTCTGTAAACAAATATTACAAATCTACAGATAACTGAGTTGAATGTGACTGCTCTAAAGCATTAAATATGAAACATCCATTAGCACCCGCGTAAACAAACAGAAAAACCCCATTACTTACATTAAAATTGTATAAAAGTTTGGGGCGTAATCGCATACATTTTTAAGTAGTAAGAAAATGTTCCGTATGGTTCCAATATTTGGATATCATTGGTTCCGTGATCAATTGATGAGTCAATAAATAATTGCTATGACGTTTTACTGGCTGGATTTTATTTAAAAAAATGAAGTGTACAAGAATGAAGTTAATATTACATTTGAATAAATATGCGTAGCCACTCAATTACTTTGTGTACCGTAATTTTCTTTAACGAAACCAAATTTTTTTCTCTCCCTTCTTTACTTTTAAAAATTCATTCAAAAAATCATTTTGTGTGAAAATATGAATTCTTTCTTTAAACAACTTAAAAATATTCAATTAACTTTTTCCCATTAGACGATATATCGTTTACATCCTCAAATAAAAAAAATTAACTTTATTGAAAAATTTACGTCAATCTACGAAATCTTTCAAATAAAGGCTAATGGAAACACTGAGGTTTTTGTGATTTCAAGGGATTTACAGTATCTTTTTAACGGGACATTGCTCTTTTTTCCCTCAACTTTCGAAAGATTTTTCCCAAAACCGCCGTCCCCTCGCCGAGGATATCCGAGGGCAGCTCCGTCTTTCCTTTTGTCATTCATATTCATTTAAATCTGCCACGATTCGCCGCGAGACTTCCAAACCGTGCATAAAACTTGCATAATAACCGATTCTAATATACGAATTTGGTACTGCTCGTTGGACCCTCATAGTAGATTATTTATACGGTGTTTTCAAGTGGATCCATACAGAAATTATTGTTGAAATATAGGCAATTTGACGAATTTTATTATCATTATTAAGTCAATTCGTCATTTAACACCTTGGAAAGGAATTTTGTACTGCTCCTTATAATTTTTATGGTTACACAATCAATAGAATAAATAAATTCTAACTGTTTTTATCAAGAAACCAACTTGACATTCGTTTTTCGCAAAAAAAACCGCTTATTACAAATTTTTGAGAAAATTAAAAAATCAATTGTTTTCTTCAAATTTTTCGCTTCCAAAATTCTTTCGATTTCTGTCCGAAAATTACAAAAGTAGTAAAAACTTTGAAACGCCTTGGTTGAGCAACATGAAATTTTACATGTGTTTAGAAACTTATAATCTATTTTCAATTAATTAATATTTTTATGTAAGGCTTTGGTTGAAATGAAAAAGTTAGCGTCACGAGCGGGATTCGAACCCACGACCTTCGGCCCAATGCGCCGCCGATCTAATCACTTGATCTATCGTAACTTCGATCCACTCGGACACTAACTCCCCATCTAAACCTACCTTTCGAATTTTCCCTCCTTGTGGCCACGGGGAGCTGTTAGTGAAGTTATGCTTCGTTTTACTTATTAAATCCATTATATTTAGTGGTCTGATTGACCAAATTACTTCTTTCAAGTAATTAATATTTTTATTAAGGTTTTGATTGAAATGAAAAATGGCAAAAAGGAGGGAAAATTTGAAAGGTTGTAGGTTGTGATGGGGAGTTAGTGTCCGAGTGGATCGAAGTCAGGATAGCTCAAGTGGTTAGATCAGCGGCGTATTGAGCCGAAGGTCGTGGGTTCGAATCCCGCTCGTGAAGCTACCATTTTCATTTCAACCAAACCTTACATAAACATATTAATTAATTGAAAGAGTTAATTTGGTCAATCAGACCACTAAATATAATGGATTTATAATTTACACCTAACGGATCAAACATGATCTTCGTATATTATTTCGACCTGCAGATAAAGAATAAAACGTCTGGGATGTTTTAGCTGATTTCATTCTTATTTTTTCATTTTCATGACAAAAATTAAAGTTTTAAGTAAACTTCATTCATAATAGCGGTTGCCTTAACGTTAAATTTGATAAAATATAGAGTTAGTAATTTTTATGTGGAACAACCAGAAAAAAAACCGCTTTGGGTCAATCCGGCGAGTACGCAAAACGAATCCGAACCGGTTCATATCAAAGATCTGGTGATAATAATTATTGAATTTTTATTTTGAGGAATTCACTGAAGTGGTCTGATATAAGGAGTCGACTAAACCCGCAATACATGCTAGTGTTTTGTAAGTTTTCTCAGTTAAGCCGGGCATACACTTATCCGATGCTACGCCATGCGACGCTACCCGACGCCTTGCCACGTTTTGGTAGGGTGTGCACATCTATGCGACGTCGTGCGAACGTCACGTACAGTCACACAGCGTGTCTCACAAATCAGTATCACGATCGCAACGCCTTTTTTGTTCTTAATTCACTATTTTGAGCAAAACCATGTAATAAATCGTTAGTTAAATTTTATGAGCACAACCATGTAATAAATTGTTTGTTAAACTTAATTGTTTTAAATAAGGTTATTCCGGTGTTTTGATAAATTTTCTTCCCAACCATCATAAGTAAATAATTTTTATAAAAACTCATGAATTTTTGATCTCGTTTAATTTGTTTTATATTAAAATAAGTATGTTGTAATTAATATAACGACCAAATTACATATACATAGTTTGAAATAAACTACAAAAAATATGAGTCTCCTGTTCAGACGCTACCCGACGAAAATGGTTTACTTGTATGAGCAAAACTATGAAATTATATGAGCAAAACCGTGTAATAAGTTGTTAGTTAAATTTATTATATCAAATAATGGTATTCCGGTGTTTTGATCAATTTTCTACCAAACCATTAAAATTAATTTTTTTAAATAAACACTAATGAATTATTGATCTCGGTTTGTTTGGTTTATATTAACATAAGTTTGTTGTAATTAATATAAGGACAATAATACATGTAGTTTGAATAAAAACATGAGTGTCCGGTTCTTTTGTCTTCGACTGCACTCGATGCGACCCGACGAAAATCTGGACAGTGGGGATCGCAGAGCGTAGAGAAGGGTAGCGTTGCATAGCATCGGGCAGATGTGCACGGAGGTAATACAATCTTATGGAAAATTGGACTTTGGATTTGGGCCGGGTAGCATCGGGTAGCGTCGCATAGCGTTGCATCGGGTGTGTTCCCGGCTTTAAAGAAACTTCCAATAACCACATTTAACCAAGGGGACCCGGACAAAGTGTCGCGGGTATTATTTACAATGTTGGAGGAGGCGAAAGGGGGTAACCTAAAAGTGCCATTTTCTCCGTAACTACTGAATCATTTTTGTTGAAACTAGGTACACATGTTTCTCTACTATTAAACTGAAAATTAACAAGAGCTTTTTTTGAAATTTTTCGTCTGAAAAAATCTACTGCAAGAAAACTTTTGAACACATTTGTCTAATAATTATGAATTTCTTTATCCAAATATCATTGTTAGTTTTGGAAAAGCTCTTATAGAACTGTTTAAAGATCTTTTATGTTACCGCATAAAAAAATTGAAACGCACATCTTAAACGAGTTGGCAGATTTTGTCCCTGTTGTGTCAAAAAACCTTACTTTTCAGGGCGGCTGTTTTTCTGACGTAGTTCCCCAAAAGTGACGTTTCATCATTATTTCCTATAGATGCTACCACAATACCCTTTCGGAAAGGCAACTGTGCTTCCAATTAACAATTTTAAAATTTCTTGGATCACATTAACTAGAAAAGGTAATCTAAGCCAATAAAAAAATTTGGTTCAATTGACCCGCAACACCTAGTCCCCTTATCCAACTTAAATATAATAAATACTAAATTTTTTTCTCGGTTCCCAGTGGCCGATGGTAACAACGCTCGGACAAGTATAGGAAAGTTTTTGATCTAGTATCATCTGAAATGACGTGAGGGTTTGATTCGGAGGAAAGACCGAGCCCGTCACCATACTTCCATGATCAATAGATCTCAATCAGTGTGGATCCGGACCTCAATCCGATCGAACACTTATGGAACCATATTGGACGTTTTTTAAAAACCGATCCAGCATAATATCAAATATTTGAAAGTAGCATTTGAATTAGTGGTAACGAATTTCGTAAGAAATTAAAACAAATTATACAAATTTGTGCAGAAATTTAATGTGTATTGTGCTCTCTTTTTTGCGTTTGTTCTATTGCGAAAGCTACTTATTAATTTATCTTACATGTACATTCTGTAACTCAATTTTTATTTATATCTATCAGTCTGTTAGAAAATAATATTAACAACAAATTAAAATTTACTTACAGTCAACACTGAGTCGAATCCTTTTGCTCATTGATGGCGGCACGCCGTTGGACGCTATGCACAAATAGGCTCCCATGTCTAGCCTGCTGATTTTCGAAAGTTCCAACATTCCTCCTTCCCACTCGCTAACTGAAAAAGTAAGTTTTAATGTTTACAGTGTATTTAATAAAAATTAATAAAAGAAAATTCGCTATGATACTTGACATACATGAGAATCTTATAAAATATTTGTAAATGATTATTTGGAGGTCGTAAGATGCGGTCTTGTGTGGTGTAGATCTTCAAATAGTCATTAATTAACGGTCACTAAAAACTTCACGTATTTGTAAATGTTAGCAATATTTATTTAGAAATCGTGAGATGCGGTCTGGTGTGATGTAGGTTTTAGAAAAAATTTTTCTTTATCGTGCCAACGTTTCGATCATTATTGAGATCATCTTCAGGGCTCAACGTGTTTGTCTTCTGTGTAATTGTGCCATCCTTGCGTATCGTGTCGAGAGAGCACGATTTTATTTATGGTTTAATAATTATTAAGTAACACCTTGGGTGTTTTTTGTTTTTGTCCTCGTTACGAAGAAAGGGTTTTTTTTAACACTAACATACGATATTAAAGGAAAAAATATTGATTTACATGAAATAAAATTTTAAACTGCCAAGAAAATTGTTGAATGTTCTACGTTACACTTGATGTTATGTGTGTAACCAGACCGCATCTCTAGATTTCTAAATAAATATCGATTAACGGTCACTAATCACCACACAATGTTAACAATGTTTTTTCTGCTTTATTGAATTTCCCAGTGCTTTTTATATTAATTGTGACGACCTTTTTTAATTAATTTTAATTCCTCTATCATCTCAGTAATTGTTATCCAAACATTTTTAAATTTCTGCTTTCCTTTCTTTACTTCCATTATGAAGAAAAAGTGTTAAATATAAAGTTGTATTAAAACTATAATTAGTTTCTTCCATCCTCCGCTGTTTAATTAATTTTCTTTCTTAATATCTTATAAGTTTAGCAGAGATTTTTTTGCTAAGACTTTTACCTTTTTTTTGTGGCAGTTCAGTTTTATGAAATTTTATAGAAAAGTTGCTTGGTCCTGCAGGTGTATCTCAGGAACTATGACGCTAGTCTATTAGCCTTCTAGAATACCTCTACTCCCGTTTGTGCCATGTGACGCAGACAAGTGACAGTTTTTATTTCCTACTTTTCCCAGGGGATTCAGGCAATCTTTTCTCAGGATTATAGCCTAAGTTTAGGTTAGACTTTTTGGCTAAGCCTACCTTTTTGATAATCAGGCCCTTTTTCCGTTCCAGGTCCTCAACCCTTAAGCTAGTCTATCAGCCTTCTACGTTACACTTGATGTTATGTGTGTCTAGGGACCGAGACCAAGAGATAGTTCTGTACTACCTACTACTACTACCTCTCCCATGTAGTGCTGATCTTTTGATCAGTTAAAATACATCGCAATGCTCTGAACACTTTTTTTCCTCATATTAAGTGCCTAATGTCCGTTAGAAAGCCTAAGTTTAGAAAGGCTTAATTAGCCAAGTCTTTTGTCTGTCTTGGGATGTCGTTTCGTCAGGATTTTGTAACATGATCCATTCAACAATTTTCTTGGCAGTTTGAAATTTTATTTCATGTAAATCAATATTTTTTCCTTTAATATCGCACCTATGTTAGTGTTAAAAAACCCTTTTCTTCGTAACGAGGACAAAAACAAAAAACAACCAAGTTGTTAATTAATAATTATTAAACCATAAATAAAATTAATTGTATATTACGGCAAATTGCGGTTTATCGCTTTAACCATCCGACTACCACACCTGGTTTTTTTTTGTATCCCATTCAAGATGAAAAGGGACGAAACTTAATTTTCACGGCGGAGTCCGACGTTATTAGACACTGCTGAAGTGGAAGTAAAGCCGGGTTGTGGTGTTGATTAGTGTGAACAAAGCAAAACACGACTGCGGTTAACTTAACTACGCCTAAGCATCTTGCAAGAAGCCCCTCTTGTAAATTACATATAAATTATCTCTTATTTAGTCGAATATAAATGGGCGGGTTTTTATTACGATGATTAGAACTAATGTAACATTTGTTAAAAAATGGAAAAAATCATTAATCTTTTGCCCTTCAATGTCAATAAATTGACGCTTAAATTGAATTTTTAAAAGAGATTTGAAATTAAAGGTTAGTTGCAACTTGGAAAAAAGGATCTTCGTTGAGGTCACAACAGAACGCCAATTCTTTACGTTTTTGCAGAGCTTTCGACGATATATCGTCGTCATCAGGGCTTTAACTCGATGAGGGTTGAAATCTATCTTGAGAACAAGAAATTTCATTTATGATAAGATTATTTAAAATTAGCTGAAGCTCAGTATCTGTTGTTTTGAAGTTCGATGAGAAATTAAAGATGAGATGATGTATCGACCTGCTGGACATATACACTCTTATAATATTGTAATGAAAAATGTATAAACGTAGCAAGTAATTTTAAAAACTAACCTTTAAAGATGAGATGATGTATCGACCTGCTGTTGAACAACTTGGAAAAAAGGATCTTCGATGAGGTCACAACAGAAAGACAATTCTTTAAGTTTTTGCCGAACTTTCGACGATTAATAATCTTATCATAAATGCAGTTTCTTGTTCTCAGGATATATTTCAACACTCATCGAGTTAAAGCCCTGATGATGACGATATAATCGTCGAAAACTCGGTAAAAACTTAAAGAATTGTCGTTCTGTTGTGACGCCATCGAAAATGCTTTTTTCTAAGTTGTTCAACAGCAGGTCGATACATCATCTCATCTTTAAAGGTTAGTTTTTAAAATTACTTGCTACGTTTATACATTTTTCATTACAATATTATAAGAGTGTATAATATGTTGGAGGGAGGTTTCTTTGGCATTGCTTGAAGTATTTTGGACTGGACTAACTGGTTTCTTTGAAGGTTGGAACGCTTCGTTAGACCCCCACAGTCCGATTCCGTAATTAGTTTTGGTTTGTTTCCAATAGATTTTTAAGTAGTAGATGTATTATCCCGCATAGTGACGACATTGGTTATTGGGGGAAGAATAAATAAGGTTATACTGGAGGATGAAGATATCTGCAGGGATCTGGTTTCGTTTAGTTCTATCCTCCTGAGAGATAGCCCTGGAGGTTTTTGAAAGCCACATGGTCTGGGTTTGCTGAAGGACGATAGTTCATCTGCATATGTGCCCTCGAGGATAAATGGTATTTGAAGGTCTGTGTAGAGGGTTGGATAGTTATTGTCACTGCCCCCCCCCCATAAGTGATCCTCTTTCAATTTAGACAAGTTTTAACTTCACCTCATATGACATTAAAGCGTGGATGCCTGACTATCAGAGAAGCTAACGTCTTAGGGTGAATTCCAAACCTCTTTATTTTTCTGTCACTGTTTTTGGTATTATTTTAAACTGAAAAACCTGTATGTCTTTAGTCAGTCAGTCTTTGGATTTATTCCTATGACCCCCAGATTTTGTGAGCAGTATGAGCATCAGAAAGAATTGGCCTTAAAGGTCTTTTGCGTCTAATTACCAAGGACAAAGGTATTAAGTAATATTCTCTAACATTCTATTAAATTAATTAATGGTTTAATTAATGACCCCTCTTACCAGTGAGAGTTTTATTAATGTTGATCATTTGTCCGTCATCTCTTCTCCATTTAATAGTTGGCGGAGGCGATCCGTTAGCTGCGCACATAAGTGTTATATTGGAACCCTCTCTTGTAATTACATCCGAACTACTCAAAGCGTCTTCTATGTCCGGGGGCACTGGAACAACAACATTTAAAAAATTATAAAATAAACATAATTTTTAAATGGTGATGCTTAACAATTTCGACGTTTTTTTGTAACTTTTAACTTTACTTTTGGGCAAATTTCGATTGTTTTTTAAGTTATTTATGAGTCTTGTAATGTTTTAAGTAGATATTTCTGTTAAAGCCAAAAATAGTAACGGAAACATGTGGTAGCACCTACAAGTACCATTGTGGTTTCCACTTTCAATTGCAGCTAAAGCGTACATATTTTTCATTATTCATTAGGGTTCCCCTGCAGGAAGTATTAACTTATTATATAAAAATTATTTTAACCGACTTACCTCAATCGGTCGGTCAAAATTGTATTTTACAGCCCAACCACGAGTATGGTATGATTTGTGACCACTTAGCAAAGTAGGGTAAAATATATATATATATATAAAACATTGCTGATATTCGTTTTTTTCTCTCCACGAAACACCACCGCATACAAATGTTTGAGAAAAATGTTATCTCCAATTTTACGCGTAAAAATAATAAAAATAGTTCTAACTTTGAAATTAACCCACTGATCCATATAAAGCTTTATCATAGGTTAGGGGCTTATAAACTGCACGCAGTGACGTAAGCCTGGCTTTTGTAAATTATTTAGAACTGGAGATAAAATGTAAAAGGTTTCAAAGATTTTATTGTTTTCATCCTTACTTGTTACTTATAGTAACATAAAATCTAAACTTTATTGATATTTAAATTCACTAATTTCGTGGTCCGCTTGACCAATTAAATCATTACAATTAATTAAGGTTTTTAGTTGAGATGAAAAAAAGTTAATGGAACGAGAGGGATTCGAACCCACGACCTTCGGCTAGATACGCCGCTGCTCTACCACCTGAGCTATCGTGACATCGTGAGAGGTCACGATAGCTCGGGTGNGTGTGCTTCGAGCCTGAGCTTTTCCACTCCAACGAGTAGGAATTTCCTACTGGCTGAACGAGTAATTCAGCCAGCAAAGTCCTTTTACCACAGAGGCTTCTGGTTTTTCTTCTGCATCCGGCAACATCTTCACACGCTGCTGCCCCGAACCTGTATATGTGCGTCCAAAGCGCAGTGTCACACTTGTCCAAATATATTTCTAGTCTTAACAGTTTCTAATGCCAGTAATGAGATCGTAACTTTTCCAAGTAACTTCAGGAGAAGGAATATTTTGTCGGTATAGGCCATTACACCAACAGAAGACGTGTCCCGCTGTTTCTTCTTCTTCCTGGCAATATCTGCCCAGGCTAGTTGCTGCTTTAGTGTAAGCATAAGCCTCTGGCGTCTGCAGTATGTAGTCAGCAGTCCTGTTTAAATTTTAGTTTTAGGTTTAGTAGTTACGACGTTAGTTTTGAGATGCCATGAACTATTTCGCATAACACTGTCCTGGCATACAATCACATTGAACGGTGGATTTAGGGCGTTGGTGGCCGCTTCGTTTAGGCGTTGACTCGGCGACTCATCATTGTAAGGGTCTCCAACATATTTACAAATGGGACTTTTTCTATAAACTCAGGGGTTAATATGTCCTCTGTCTGATTGAACTGTTTTTGGCAATTTGGTATGCCGCAAAAAGTTGTAGGTAATTGACCTGCTTTCAGCAAAGAAAGCCTCAAAGAACGAAATTAAATGTCGTGATATTTCCTCCCGTGGTTTGCGGTGTGGGAAAAAAAATCAAAGGCTTATTAATCCGTTGTCTGATGGGTGTACGTTTTTGGCAAATTTGTATTCCAAAAGAAATTGGAATCAGTTTTCAGCAAATAGTACACTTTTGAAAAGAGGAGTTACATCTCAATTGAAAGATTTATGTCGACCTATTAGCGGATTTTCTTACTTCATACATCATTAATAGTTCATAGTACAATGAATTGTTGAATTTTGAAAACATTTGTTTCATCCCAACTGATCAAATGTATCTAGGGAATAAGTCACATAATGTCACATCATTATAATTATCACTCAAGTTTTGGAAATTTTCAAATAATGTTTTGTTTTTTAGCAATCACGAGATTAAATTACAATGCAAACTAATTAATAATAATAAAAGGGCACGGAAATAATAAAGTAGGGCGATATTTGACAACCGGTATTTTGGGAGTTTTCCAGTTTTATATGGAGTTTGAGAGACTTGAACGCCAGCCCCTTTCCTGAGTGCAAGGTGGAATTTCGGCCAGTGGGATAGGAGTCGCCCACTCCCTCGTGCTCTCCTGCCTTTCTCCTGCATATTTAAAAAAACACCCAGTGTTCAAGTCAAGTTTAGGTGTTTTGGCCAGTTTAATATTTTCATCGGATAAGATTTTCCATAAAAATAAAATTAAATGTAATAAAAAATAAATAAATATAATAAAATTCATTTATAATCTTCCATTTATCTAAAAAAAATTGCGTTATATTTAAACTTGGGTTTTAACTCGTTAAAACAACTCTCCAACAGACCTAGATCTTTCCTTAGAGAACTCGATATTTCCTGAATCATAGAAGAAAGCTATTCTGAAACCTCTAAATAAAATTCCTAATCCTACTTCTTCCAGTAGCCACGTTCTCTAACCCTCCTTATCCTATTGAAAAATGTTCGCAATGTCCTTCCGTCCTTTTCCAGGCATAAAAATCTTCACAGACATACAAACTGCTATCTACCAATGTAAAAATCACCGTTTTTGTCCTTCTCGAGTTTTCTTCCTTTGATGTCGCAGGTAATTCCTTTCTCCTTACTAAACATATATTTTCTTTACTGTAAAGCATTAGCCATATAGCCATCGAGTAACAGGGACCTCAGACAGATTGTAAGGCCAGCATACTCCCAGACGCATCAACTGAACAACTCCCACTTTTAGTTTAAGTCGGCAGTCATCATTAGGGGATCCAGCACAAACAGTTAAGAGTTACACGTCAAATTCAGGGAGAGGTTCTAAGTTACTGTCAGATAGATGACAGTCAGGTACCGTGACAACCGCCATCTGAGTTCGGAGGGTTAATTCAGCCAGATAAGTTCATCATCAGAACTCCAGCGACCCACAGCCTTCCAGATTTACAAGCCCGAAAACGTTCCGCCTGAGAAATAAAACTGATTGTGAGCCATGGGAGCAACCGCGGAAATCGTAAAATTTATTCAATTAAGACCTTTTTTCTCTTTTTAAACCTTTCTACATCTTTGAGGTGAAGAGTGTAGACCATATACCAAAACATATCCAGTATGTTTTGACTGAGCACAGTAAAAAAGAGTTTAGCCACAATTTTCTATATCAAAGGCAATCGTACGGTACTAAGGATAATACCTAAACAAAAAGTTGAACTGAAACACCCATACACTGACTATACAGGGATATAAAATGGTCATGGCTCTTTAATCCTCTAAACTGATCCTATAGAAAAAAAGCATTAGCTTTTTTGGTCAATTAACCATTTTTAACTGGTTTAAATTCAAATTAACATTTTTATGAACCAAGTAACCATGTTTAACTCAAACTATTTTTAATAACCAATTAATCTTGCTTAATTTTAAATTAAACTTTTTTAACTTCAAATTAACCTTTTCTATATAAAAAAGTTAAGGTTTAAAAGTTTAAAAAAATCTTAGGAGAAGGTATGTAAAGTAACTTACCTCTGCATTATTGATTTTTGGGTTTTGAAAATAAAATAATTGAGCTCTTAGAAAACCACATAAGAATAAATTACAATTAAAATCAAAAGTTATATAAAATTAAGTATAAAAATAAAAATCCAACTTTTAATTGGAGATATAGTGATTAAAATTAAATATAAAAACCAATGATTCTAATAATTATTAAATATTTTTAAAAATATAAAATAATTAGTCTATAAAATTGTTTAATTTAATAATAATAGTGATATTAATCAAGGCAGAATTCTTGCGAATTTTAAATAACTATTCCAATTATAAAGTTTTTTATACCGAAGGGTCTAAAAATGAAATTGGTGTAGGGTGTGGGATATTTGCTGATGAGTATAACTTCAGCTGGTCTCTATCGAATGAGGCTNTTTATATTTAATTTTATATAATTTTAAATTTTAATTGTAATTAATTTTCATATGCTCCTATAAGAGCTCAATTATATTGTATTTTAAAAATTTACAATAGTACAGGAATTTTATTTTACATAATTATATTTCACACTTAGGTTTTTGATTGCTCCCCAGCAAGCAACAAAAAAAAGATTAATTTAAAGTTAAAAATGATTAATTTGACTAAAATAAGGTTAATTTGAAGTCAAAACGGGAAAAATTGTAGCAAGAAATGTCAATGATGAATTTGAATTTAAAAAATGGTTAGTTTAAAGTAAAGTATGGTCGATATGAAGTTAAAAAGGGGTAAATTGAAGTGAAAAAATTTAATTTGAAGTTAAAAAAAGCCTAATTTTAACATAAAAAATTGTTAATTTGAAGTTAAAAAAGCCTAATTATAACATAAAAAATTGTTAATTTGAAGTTAAAAAAGGTTAATTTAAAGTTAAAAAAGGTTAATTTGACGGTAAAAAGGAACACTGACTTAAACAAAAAACTTCCTCCTATCGATGGACTTGAACTCCAACCTATACCGCAATCCTGCCAATCCAAAGTATTCCATACAATATTTAATACTAACAATAAGACTTGTTAATTTTAAGATAGGATAAGATTCAGGTCGACCCAAGGTTAAAAGAGCTTGGTCTATTTGCCACCTCACGTCTATGTCTAAACCATCCCCTATGTAGTTAGACCTTGCCGAATCCACACGAAATTATATTCTCAAGTTGACCCATTAATAATCTATTACATCTTTCTTCGAAATCTGCTAGACTGATTCAGCGTCGTCCTTGCGATCAGTTAGCTGTATAATGATGGAGTCACAGGTATGAGAGACAACATTTTTTACTCTCACAGTTATTTACCATTTGACCCCATTAAAAGTTTTAGTTATGTTATAAGGAAAGAAGGAAGAAACTTAAAAAAAATGCGACACTATTATCGAGTATCCTTGAA